CATGTCTTAAAACATTATCCAAACTTGCTCCAATCGTCAAAACACCTCAACTAACGCCAAAATCATCAAATTATATCGAATTCAAGCCTAAGTTCTTTTAAAACTTCTAAAACACACATTCGATCAAAAACCCGACCAAACGATGTCCGAATGACCTGAAATTTTGCACACATATCCCAAATGATACAATGAAGCTACAGCAACTCTCGGAATTTCATTCCGACACCCGGATCAAAATCTCACCTATCAACCGGAATTCGCCAAAATACTAACTTCGCCAATTCAAGCCTAATTCAACACCGGACCTCCAAAATTACTTCCGGTCCTGCTCCTAAGTCACAAATCACCTCCCGGAACTAACCGAACCGTCGAAATTCACATCCGAGCCCTCTAACTCATAAGTCAACGTCCGGTTGACTTTTCCAACTTAAACCTTCTTAAAAGAGACTGAATGTCTCATTTCTTATCAAAATCGCTCCAAATAAATTCTAATGCACCCAATACCGATAATGAAACATGAGGAAGCAGAAAATGGGACGAACGAGAGAGTAACTCATGAGACGATGAGTCGGGTCGTCACATTAAGCTATGTATCTTATTTGTAAAATTATAAGGATCTGCTCCCATTGCTATCAACATTTGGAAATCTTGTGGGAATTCTGACTTATAGGCTTCCCATAAACCCTTGGTTGATTCTCCTAAGAAGGTTTCCATATATTTATGCATTGTTTCTGCATCTGTATCATTATAAGTTTTTATAAAGTCTGTCACTACGATTCCTTTCCATAGGTCTATTACTAAGTTCCACATTTGTGGATCATGAGTTGCTATATTTAGTATTTTATCTTTACTTTCTCCTTCCTGTAGTCTTATAGGTTCTTCTATAGGCATTCTTTTTCCTGATGGTTTTACATTTTCTATTTCTGTTTCTTGATCTATTCTGTAAACTCTTTTTCGAGGTACATTTCCTGTGCTAGTATCTATTGTACTTTGATAAGTTGTTCATTGGAATGGGCTTGGGCTAGAACTAGTTGATTCCATCAATTCTTTTAGGCTTATTAGGGATTCTGTTTCTGTTTCTTCATAACTATCTTGTATTTCATCAAAACTTTTATATAATATTTCTGATTTTTTCTGTATAAAATATTTTCTTTTCTATATCCCCAATTATCTGTTCTTAATTCACATTTCCTAAAATGTTTTTCTACTTTGCTTAAGGTTAACCTTCCAAGTTTACATCCTTTACATTGGAAAGTCTGATTTTTATTTTCTTTAACTAGCCTCCTTGTCTTTTCTAGTGCTATATCTACTTCAAATTTGTCTTGTATTATTTCTATGTTCATGAATTCAGTACTGGTATCGTCTGCCGTATTCTCAGTTATGTCATCTATTTTTTTTGGGTAGAATAATTGTAATCAGTAAATCTAATTGAGGTTTCTCCTTTTGAGTTTGTATACATTAAATGAGATTCTGGTTTAAATATTTTTTGTTTTGCAAAATCTTCTAAATTCCATTCTAATCCAGCATATTCTTCTGGATTTATCTTAATAGGTTTTATTAATTTTATTCCTTTATTTTCCATTACCTCGACTACATCGTCTACCTTAATTTTGAATCTTGTATTACTACTTGTTGCCATTTTTCCTATGAAACCAACACATATCAGTAAATTATTTCCATTGTTCATTTCTTCATATCCTTCAGTCTGTATTCCTATTTTAATATTTTTTTTCCAAATTCTGCTAAATTTATCATGAAGTCTGGGCTGATATAAAATATTCCTCCATTATTGGTCATGTCTACTTCTGTTAAACCTAGTATGGATTTCTTTTGATCTGACCATCTGTCATCATATACTACTACTAATACTTTAGTTCCTAAGTTTTTTCTAGTTAATCCTTTTAATCCGATTACTATTAATCTCATATGCATTAAATTCTTTTTATAATTCTTTATTTGTCTTACTGGATCTGGATTAATTAAATTTAATGTTGCTACTTTACTTCCTATGGCTGATAATTGTTCTTCTCTATATTGTCTATATAATTGAGAATTATTTGAAAAATATCCTGTATTATATAATATTTTTGGATTAAGTAGCCTTAGTTGATTTTGCTGAAAAATCTGTATGTCTTTGTCTATATCTATTATTTCATCCAGTTTCTGATTTTCTTCTTGTCTTTTTCTAGTTAAGATTCTTGCTAACATATTATTACCTATTCTATTATCTAAAAAATTTATTCGTGATCTTTCTTCGTCTATTGTTCTTGACCTATCTGGAAGAAAGTCTATTTTTGTGGTTTCCTTATTTTAATTCTATCCTTTTGCGGTGTTATCTCAACTCTTTTTAATTGTTCTATTAAATCGTCTACCTTTGGGATTTCTGTTTTTATTTCTTTTTCTTTAATAATTTTATCTAGCTTTTTATTGACTTCTAAAAGTAATATTATTAAAGTATTATTTAGTTTATTTATCGTTTGATCAGCCTTTCCTTGAGGAGTATAACTAGTTAGTCCCTCTGGATTGGGTTGAATTCTTTCCGTGAGTTTTAATGCTTCTTCATATTAAACTATAAAAGTCTATAGAATAAGGGAGGGAGAGTACCGAGTAGGATTTTCACAAACATAAGTTTTTAACCGCAAATATCTTACTATTAATGTCCAATAATCGTAACAACTACACCCATCCAGAGAGCTTTGCTAGAAGCCTTACCCAAATTAGACATAGAATCAGGATTCTATTCTATAGTAAATCTAGCCGTACATTTTATCTACCTTAAAGAAAATAACATAATCTGCTCAGATAAATATAGAAAACAACTATATTTATTATCTCTAATATTATCATATCATCAATCGTGTCATTTATATCACCTAAGAAGATTGTAAGATTAACAAGGCATACTATTAGACACTATTTATTAGACTTTATCTAAATCAATCCCTGATACCAATCCCTTTTTAATTATCCCTTTTTAATCTTTTTTTAATTTTTAATTTAATCTTTTTAAACTTCGAGACCAGGGTCCAAAAATATTTGGCAATTTCTTTCTCATTTATCTAGGCCTTGGTAGACAGAGATATCTGGTACCTATGTTGGTAGACTGTAGCAGGTACCTGGTGGAATAGTTGAAGTGCGTGTAAGTTGGCCCGATCATTATAAAGAAGCCGCTATTATTTTTTTATTTATTTAATGTTGTGGGCTCAATGAGAATTATTTTGTCTCATTCATGGTGTATAGGTTGTTTAGATATTCTTTGATTACATGGGTATACAAGGGCTGATATTTAGCTTCAAATTGAGTTCTAAAATTTCTGAATCCTTCCTTCCATATAAAGTACTCACACAGTCAACACAGAAGCCCTGTGAAACACATACTATATTTGCATGTCAAAATGTCATCTATGTATTTTATTTAGCATCAAAGCAACTGCGCCAATTTCATCTGATATCATGGTTTCCTGTAATAGGGATGACTCTGCTTAGATTCCCTTTTCTTCTGTTGTCTTGTAGCAATGATCTTTAGAGTGACACGGAATATGTTGAGTAATATCTAATGTTACTCATTCATAAATAACGAGAAAAATTAAGGTTATCAACTCAACTTAACAGGGAATTGGCAGCTTCTGCCTCTCGCTCCCGAAGGAGGTTGTATTATTTCTTCAGGCTCTTGATTATCCTCCGTTAATATTGATTTATATTGCTGCGGGAGAAATTTATGGTGGTAACTATCGCCTCCCAGAGCTCGCATCTCGCTTTCAGCATGTTGTTTTCAAGGTTTTTACCGGCACCTAATCATTCTGGCTGTCCAGGAAGCTCAAAGTTGATTTCTTTCACTAATAGTGTGTTTTACCTACCAAACCACAAATGTCTTATTGATGGCAGGAATTGCTGGCAATGACAGAAGAACTGAGAAGGTTTGCCAATCATGCCTCACAAACTGCAGCACTCCATTATCTCATCTCTGTCGAAAGTGATGTTTTTATTCTGTCACACTCAGGTAATACGGCAAGAGCAGTTGAGGGGCACCGCAGATTCTTAGGCCACCAAAAAACAATCACTCCTGACAGGTACTCAAGTAAATGAAAATTTCGCAGTTGCTAACGTATAGAGTTTCAGTGCTTGTGGTTTGTAAGTAAAATTTTTGGCTTGATTTTATCAATTTTAGAAGGGTGATTTTTCAATTTGCCTTTCGCCACTGCTAAGCCTGGCATTTTTCTTTATTGAGGTATTACTGTTGCCCTCACTTAGGAGTTTGTCACTTAGGAGTTAGGACACAAATCAACCATCCTTTATATTTGCTTCACAAAAGAGGCTATGTGTACCGAGGTAGAAATGGATAAAAGGCTCACCTGCAAATTAAGAGGTCTATGATAACATGAAAGTCTTCCCCATCTTGACTGGCATATTAAAAGCGTTGTTCGGAAAACAGTTTAGTATTCTTATATATAGAAGTCCTTAAAATTTTGAATTTGCGCAAGTTGGATTAAGTTTTGTGTCCTTTGCCTCTTCATCTACATATTAAAAGCAACAAAATTATCTGCTAAATTGTGTAGGAATGGCTTAGTTGAAATATTTTGATAAGCTGCAAGCTGGTCAGCTTGAAGAAGCATCATTTTCACATCTTGTCAGGAATTTGCATAAGAACAAGTGTTATACATATGCAATGGATACTCACATTATGCACCTGTTCATGTAATTGTTTCTGTTGAAAGCTTTTTCTCTCTGTTTCTGTTACTTTGGTGCAAAAATAATTTTATGTTGGAGACATTTAACCTCTCACATCGATTGTACAAGAGCTTCTAAAGGGGTTCATAATTGTCAATATTGCTTCTGGGGTACCTAAATCTTCAAAATCATCTAGTTTAATACATATTCTCCTCATTTTCATTTGTCCAACTAAATGTTAGACAACTAAACGATCAATCCTAACAATGAGAGTGAACATACGTGTTTCCAATTGATTAAACACAAATTTCATAAAATTCACTAGAAAAAGGAGAATATTTAAAAATATTGTTTATTCATGTCCCCTTATTCTTCTAATTTATTACATATAATAACCCTTGTATTGCCCAACTATAGATTAGACAACTGCACGATCATATAGGAGAATGAGAACGAGCATTCTCTCTCCAATAGCATAAGTTCAGCAATGTGATTTTTTTATCTTCAGACTCTAAAGGGTACAAGGTTAGGGTCGATTTCTTCAGGCATCGACCGTTGAGGTGGGAACTTGGGAAGGAGGCTGGCAATACGCTTAGCTGTCTCAAGGTACTTTACATACTTGTAAATAAGACCTTCTTTGTTAGGGCTTCCTCCTCCGTGGTTGTTTTCTTTAGTATCATGGCAACCTAGGTTCAACCCGTGTATCATTTGTGAGCCACAAAAGTTGCAATTGTGGTCTCTCCCTATGAGAGCCTCCTTGAAAGCCTTTTTCTTGAAAGTCCAAGCACCACTCCTCCAATTGAAATGGTACAAAGGGAGGAACCTTTGTCCATAAATGGATATGAATTCTAGTGCCGCTAGAATGAACTCAAATTCTTCCTTGGACATGTAGTAAGGAAAACTGACCCTTGTCCATCCTGGCTTCACTCCACTATAGCCCTGTACATCGAGATCAACGAAAATTATAAGGTCCCCTAAAATATAATTATAGGTAATCATTCATAAAATGTGGGATCATTAACCTGGAAAAAGGCAGGTTATTTACTATAGCAGGTTAAAGTATAATGATAGTGTAAATTTCTTTTTTCATTGTCAGTATATCCAAGTTAGAAGAGAGCCTTGGAGCAACAGTAAAGTTTGTCTCTTTGTGACATATAGACCACGGATTCGAACCGTGGAATCAGCCATTGATGCTTGCATCAGAGTAGGCCGGATACATCACACCTCTTTGGGTGCGGTCCTTCACGTGACCATGCATGAACATAGAATGCCTCGTGCATCGGGCTGCCCTTTTGTCAATACATGTAAGTTAAATCTTTTATTATGGAGACTCACCATTTGAATTGCATCTTTGAAGGCAAGAGAGTGAGGTTCATCAACCTTGAGCAAGATATGTCCATAGGGTCCAGCACAAGCACACCCTCCTCTAGCTTGGATACCAAATAGGTCATTAAGCAGCTTAGCGACAAAAGGGCCGTGAAGTGGCTTATCTTTCTTGTTCCCTGTCTCTCGCCATAGGTAAAGCTCGTTGTCTTCGCCATTGATGTCACCTGATGAGGAGTAAGTTGTGGTATAGATGAGAAAAGAAAGCACAGCTTGTCTCTTGGCTGTTACATTTCCCAAAACCCATACGTTAGGATTTGGGAGAAGCCTCTCTAGTGCAAGCTCAATGTAGCCGTGCTCCATTCTTTCAATTACTTTGTGACTTATGAACTCTTTTACCCAAAATGATAGAGCTGTTCTCACTTTCTGTATGATTGGTGGTGTTCCTGCATCCTCCCTTTCTTCGATGTTCTCCACGTAGAGTGTGTCCTGGTAATTGTATATTATATCAGGAGTGTTTATAGCGCAGAATTATCATTAGAGCCAAGTAGAAAAGGAAAGAAAATTAAAACACAGAAGCTTAGACACTTAAAAAGGGAGCAGTTAAATTTGTAACGTAAAAGTCTTATGATATCTTTCTTTAATGGTTTCTTATAGTGACCAGAAAAATGTGTAGTATCAAATAGTTTACTATACCACAGAAGTTATTAATTCATTTTTCCCTTTAACTAGTCAGGATCAAATGGTTATACCTCAGGCATATTGCTTTTTTTTTTTGTTACTGAAAGAAAAGAAATAACACAAGGCAAGATTCATTATTTCCTGCAAACCATAATAAAGAGAAATAGTGACGCAGTTGCATACTATTCAAAAGAGTTATTTATTCACCATAAATACGAATCACTAAACTTAAAATATATTTACATGAATTTTTTAGAATAAAGTAGAAGAGAAATACAAACTACTACTAGTAACAAATAGTTAGATAGTAAGGGGATGGAGATAGATGAGAAACCAATTTATCCTTTAAATATGCGGGTTGGTAACGGAAGAAGAGAGCATTTAATAAGAATTCGAGTTTGGTTATTGTAATTTATATCATGGTACCACTAAATCTAATAGCCTGTTTGGCCAAGCTTTTTTTTTGGGGGCAAAAGTGCTTTTTTTTGTGGCACAAAGTATTTTTGGCCAAAAACTGAGGTGTTTGGCCAAGCTTTTGGAAGGAAAAAAAGTGTTTTTGAGGAGAAGCAGAAGCAGTTTTGGAGAAGCAGAAAAAAGTAGTTTTTCTCCAAAAGCACTTTTCTGAGAAGCACTTTTGAGAAAAATACACTTAGAAGCAGTTTTCAAAAGCTTGGCCAAACACTAATTACTGCTCAAAAGCGCTTTTCAAATTAGTTAGCCAAACACAAACTGTTTCTCACCAAAAGCACTTTTTTAAAAAGTACTTTTGAGAAAAGCACTTCTCAAAATAAGCTGATTTTAGAAGCTTGGCCAAACGGGCAGTGCCGGCTCAAGGGCCAAGCAAATGAAGCAATGGCTTTAGGCCCCCAAAATTTTGGGGGCCCAATTTAAAATTAATATATTAATTCTATGGTAATTTCCTTTAAGAAATATTAACTATCTATGGTAAAAGATTATAAGATATGCATAAAATAGGAAACTAATTATTTTGTCAATGTGATTGATGATGACTAATACTTAATTTATATTCTAGTATTAATATTTTATTTTTTCCTCATAATAAAACTTGTATTTTATATTCTCTTTTTTCCCTCTAATTACTAAGCTATCTATTCTCTAAAAAAAAGGAATGAAAAACATGGAATAAATTTTTTATAAAAATTTATTATTCTGAAGTCCTCAAGCACTACAACAAACAAGTTAAAAAGGTTGGAATTTTATTCTATATCAAATTATAAGCTTCTAGAATCGTGTTCTATTATTCTAACTTTTTATTTTTTAGCTTTAGATTTACAATATATATATATATNAGCATTAATCAAATTAATCAATGTGAATTTCTTTTTAAAGTTTGAGGCCTCCTAATAATGTTTGGCTTTAGGCCTCCAATATTTTGAGCCGCCTGTGCGAGCTATAAGTCACGTCAATAAAAATTGTTAAAAGTACAATAGTATTGCCGTCTGAAATTCTTTTTTGACTTATTTAATTAGTCAAGCTCAATACCTAAATCAACTTTCACAAGTTTCTATTCTTTTTAGAAAGAAATTGACAAGAACCCCATGTGCCGTTTACACATCAAATAGCAGTCAAAATCATCTATCAAGCTGTTTGAATAAATTAAGCAAAGAAACCTTAAACAAATAATTCAAAATTTCATAATTGACACAAAGAAATCTACGGTGAAAAGGACATTACGATGAAAAAGAAAGAAAAGGACAACATATTAAAGAAACTTGCCTTCTCATTGAAGGGGTTGACAAAATCAACAGTACCACCACCACAAGTAGATGGAGGTGAAGTTCTCAATCGATAGAGTGCTTTATTCATTACAAGGACTCCTGGTGTCCCTGGCCCTCCAAGAAACTTGTGGGGGCTAAGAAAAACAGCATCGTACCCATCTATTTCTCCTGATCTCATCTCTATTTTTGCATATGGACCACTGCAACATGAGAACACATGAAAAAGAATACCCAAAATTGGAAAGAAGTAAAGCATGATTAGGATAACAAATAGAATTCAAATTACACTACTAAAAAATCAAGTTTTAGCGACGGACAAATTCTGTAGCTAAACAGAAAAATCCGTCTCGCGCTAATGTCTTTAGCAACGGAATAACGACAAATTATCAAGAAATTCTACCAGCTACGAGCAATTTAGTGACAGACTAGCAACGGAATATAATTCGTAGCTAATTCAGGTTTTTATTGTAGTGTTATATGTACTTACTGTGTAAAGATATATTTGTTGTTTTAACATGTGAAATGAGCTTAGTACCATCTAAGTGACATGATGTTGTCAATGTTTTTAAACATTGTCAGTATATAGAAGTTAAACTCCATAATTAGCATACCTTGCAGCGAAATCAAAGCAAGCAAAAGCTCCATTTTTGTGGAGAAGACGAGCGATGGCTCTGGTATCAGAGTAAGTTCCAGTGACATTACTACAAGCTGAGAATGAACCCAACAATGGCCTATTCGTAGACTTGTAGAACTCAAGCTGAACTCTCAAAGCTTCCATATCCACAAGACCATTTTCATCCAAACCAATCTCCACAACTTCTGCTAAACTTTGTCTCCACGAAAGGATGTTAGAGTGATGCTCATAGGGGCCAACATATACTACCCATCTCTCTTTTGTTTCGTTGCGGAAGCATTTTGTGAGGACTTTTTCTCTTAGAATTGAAGGGACTGTAATTCCCATGACTTCTTGGAGCCTTTTAATGGCTGCAGTAGAACCAGAACCACAGAATATTATAGCATCTTCTTCTCCTCCACCTAAGCATTTCTTCACGTAGGCTGCTGCTTCATGCACTATTTTTGTTGTTTGGTATCCTACGTAACTGTCACTAGTATGACTGTTGCCTGTAAAAATAAAGCACAGAAGTTTACATTTAAAAAAAGGCATCCCCTGTACTAAGCTTCCGCTATGAGCGGGGTCAGGGGAAGGGCCGGACCACAAGGGTCTATTGTGCACAACCTCACCCTGCATTTCTGCAAGAGGCTGTTTCCACGGCTCGACCTCCTGGTTATATGGCAACAACTTTACCAACTACGCCGAAGCTCCCCTTTTAGAAGTTTACGTTAAACTGTTTCTTTTTCATGGTCTTAAGGAGGTTCATGTATTGAAGTAAAGGAAACATACCATAGAAAGGAAGGACGTTATTAGTGATATAATTTTCAATATAGTGAAGACATCTTCCAGAGGCAGTGTGATCAGCATAAGTAAGCCTACGTTTCCCAAAGGGTGTCTCAAAATCGGCATCTTCACCGATGATCTGAGAACGTAGCCAAGAAAGTTTCTTTTCAGTAGAGTCACTCTTTGATATGTTACCTTTTTCTAGCATATGAAATGACTCAATTCTGCTCCTTAAGTCTTCATGTGAAGCAACAGAGGAAGTAGTACTAGAAACAGTAGTATACTTCTTCTTATTGTGCTCTATGCTTTGGCCTCTTAGAGTTTCTCTCAACATGAGTTGCTCGTAATCCATGTCGAAGAGCAAATGAAAGAGAATTAAATTGGAGAGAAAATAAAGGAAGATTCTTATTAGAGTTGTGATGAGAAAATTCAGTGTGTTTGAGATGATGGAAAGAGGGGGGTATTTATAGGAGAAACGAGTAGAAAATTTCAGTGGGGAAATTAGAAGGATAATTAATGATGAAGAATCTAGGGGATGTGACTTAGTATTTTTCCGAAATACTTAATTGGTATTAATACCACCTCATCCTACCAATATTTCCAATTGTCGTTTTCAAAGATTGAAGCTACGAATTTGACCAATATTTTAAATCTGTGTATTCCATTTTTTAATTTATTTAAGAAAGAATATCCTCTTTCTATATTTAAAAGTAATTTATATGTAAACTTCATATTTTAGCAAAGTTGTAACATTTTTAAGATCATAATTTAGAAGTTTAAAAGCCACATGAATGTCATAACATGTTTAAGACCGCATGTTTAGTTTCAATTTTTTCCTTCTTAATTTGTACAAATAGGTTGACACAAAGGGTGTGTTGGTATAACGGAAAATATTTTTTGTGGAAAATGTTTTTCAAGAAAATATTTTCTTGGAATACAAGTAGTAATCTTATTCATTTTCCGGTGTTTGGTATGCAAATTAAGGAAAATAACTTCTCAAGAGTATTCATAAATAATTTAGATACATTAAACATGAAGCCATAAACTTTCGAACCAACAACCTTCCGAACCGACCAATTTCATAAACTTTCGAAACGTTAAATTTTTGAAACCGCGAACTTTCGGATCCGTAAACTTTATAATTTCTAAACACGTAAACTTCCAAACACATAAACTTCCGAACTCATAACTTTGGAACTTGTAAAATTTCGAACAAGTAAACCAAAAGATGAAAAAACTAAAACTAAAAATATATAAAAGAAATATTTTTTCCGG